AGCACAAGTGAAGGAGCCAACCGAGATTAGAGACCAAACCCTTTTGTCCAAGTTAGGGGGGTCCAGGCACATTGAGTCTAGAAGCAACAAGAGCTCTAAAACACAAAGAAGTTCTTCATCCCTTAACCCTCTTCGAAACCCAAAATTCCAGTTTAAATCCAAAGGGCGAACCGGAGGGGAAATTGGTTTCTTTTTAAAGAGGGAGATGGAATAGAGAGAAGGAAAGCGGTCTTTTAGGGGTTTAGTGCTCACCCAAATATCTTCCCAAAAAAGAATGGAGTTTCCAGAACAAGCATCATACCTTACAAATCTGAAGAACTTTGGGAGAATGCCATAAATAGCCTTCCAAGGTGTTGTGAGAGAAGCCCTTCAGGATACCTCTGCGTCCCAACCTGATTCAGAACAGCCATGGATACTCTTCACTACTTCATGCCACAACCTCTCCCTCTCTAAGGGCCACCTCCGAAGCCACTTACCTAAAAGAGCTTCATTCTTACTCACCACATTCCCTAAGCCTAGGCCTCCTTCATTTTTGCTTCTACTCACCACCTCCTACCTAATCAAGTGATCTTTTTTCTCTTCCCCAGGTTCCCATAAGAAGTCCCTCATCAGTTTTTCCAACCTCTTTGCCTCCCTTTTAGGAATTCTAAAGATTGGCAGGAAGTATAAAGGCAAATTGGCTAGAGTTGCTTTAATCAAAGTAACTATACCCCTTATGGAAATATAGTTTCTCTTCCAAGCTCTTGCTTGTTTTCCCAGCTTTCGTTGAAAAGGAACCTATCTAACTTGGAGTAGATTGGTGTCTCTTGAAAGTTGGACCAAGTATAGAGGGTTTGCAACAATGGGAGTTCTTTCAACTCACAATTATTAATGAAATCATTGAATCTCCGTATGCTGGTTGTAATGACCTGTTAGGGGTTATTTGATTCATTCGTACCCCCCCCGCAAGCACCACGGGCCATCCCAAATCCCTTGAATCACATAAAGTTCTTCCCAAAAATCATTCATTTCTCTATAGTTGCTTGGTCCATACACATTAGTTAGTGCCCAAGTAAATCCATCCTCTACCATCTTGAATTTTAACAACACTGAAAAATTACCTATTAGCTCCTCCAAAACCTCCACCGTATCCTCTATTCAAAAAGTGGCAATGCCTCCCGAAGTCCCCCAAGAAAGTGCTGAAACCCAACTTATTCCTCTAGATTTCCATATGCTTATTGCCCATCTTCTATCAATATCAGCTAATTTGGTCTCTTGTAACATCACTATGTCCGGCCTTTCTCTTCTAAGGAGGTCCTTAATTAGCCTTCTTTTCCTAGCACTCCCCAGGCCCCTCACATTCCAACTGATGATTTTCATGGAAATAAGAGAATTGACTTCCCCTTCTGAGGTTAGGCCCCTACTGGAGGCTTTCCTTCTCTCCCCTCTTCCCCATTCTAAATCTCCTTCTATATCTGAGATCAACCTTTCCACCTCTGATCTTTTCTTCCTTCAGTTGTTTATTGTTCCAGATCTACTTAAGACTGCTTTTGTTATGTTTCGCCCTTCAGCAATTCCTTGATTTTCCTCCAAACATTCCTCTTTTTGCCTATACTCCTCAAGGAAAGCACAAATCTGTCCCCAAATCCTCTCTAATTCCTCCCTTTGCATCTTTCCCAAGATTGATTCATCCCCAACTTTTTTGCACCCTTGTTTTTACTAAAATTTCTTGAGCCTCGTATTTTCCTACCACTTTCTCTTTTTTCTTGTACTCCAAATACATACAGATCTGATCCCAGATCTTCTCTAATTTCTCTTCCTGGGATTTCCTCTTCCTCACCTCTTCCGCTTGTTCTTTGCCCCCCTGTCCCCACTTAAAAACTTTCCATCCATGGCTGCTGCTTCAAGTTGAGCTGCATAGGTACCTGGTCCCGGCACAAAACCCACATCAGTATAAAAAAACGAATTGACAAGATTACCTGAAAGGTTGTGGGAAGGGGGCAATGACTCCGGAGAGACGACACATGGGGTAAGGTCACGGTTAATCCTTCCAGAATAGGTTGTTTTAGTCCTTGCATCAGAATCTGTCTTTAGGTGTTGTCCCCTGATTGATGACTCTGTGATCGGTGACCGAGTTGCGTTCTGTTCCTCTAGTCCTCTATCGATGCCGTACTGCTCTAGTGAACTGGGAGCATATTTAGAAACCGGTATCCCCTGCCTCTCCTCTATAATAGCTGCGGTAAACTCCATTTCCTTGGGTAGTTGAGAATGCTTCTTCTGGGCTGAGTCTGTAATTTCAAAGCCATCATTTTCCAAAAATAACAGCTCCGTGTGTAAGCTCTCATCAGCACCGAATGATTTGGTTTTTTAAGTTCCACACTTCCGATACTTGAGGAACCTTCCAAATCTGATCCTGAACTGCTTTCTTCCTCTGTCACACAATCTTCAAAAGGGTCTGTAACTTCCTGATTTACCGTCTCTGGAATGAAAGAACACCCTGACTCCACTGTCGTCGGGTGCTTCTTGAACCTCAGGATGCGCCGTTCTAGGGAGCTGACTGTTTTCTTAGAGCTTGGGGCCCATGCCCAGTTCTGATTTGCCGCTCCACTGYGGCTGGGTTTCTTTCCTGCGAGTGGTGGCTGCTTCTTGCTCAATGGGGACGATAATAGACCAACTTTTTTGTCTATTATCAACCCTTTTCCTTTAGCCACGTGCCCACTTAAAGGGGCACATGACTTCTTAAAGCTTGGGTCCACCTGTTTTAAAACAACCGGCCCAGTCAAAGAGGCCCTTTAATTTCAGATGGGCCAGGGCCCAAACCCCCAACCTCTGTACCAGTCACGTGCCCACTTAAAGAGGCACATGACTTCTTAAAACTTGGGTCCACCTGTTTTAAAACAAACGGCCCAGTCAGAAGAAGAGGCCCTTTATTTTCAGATGGGCCAGGGCCCAAACCCCCAATCTCTTTACCAGTCNAGATGGGCCAGGGCCCAAACCCCCAATCTCTTTACCAGTCACGTGCCCACTTAAAGAGGCACATGACTTCTTAAAACTTGGGTCCACCTGTTTTAAAAACAAACGGCCCAGTCAGAAGAAGAGGCCCTTTATTTTCAGATGGGCCAGGGCCCAAACCCCCAATCTCTTTACCAGTCACGTGTCTACTTAAAATTTCATGYGACTGGTCTTGGTTCACTGGACCAGAATAAACCGGCTCACAAGACCGGTTTGAAACCTGAGCCCTTGCCGACCTATGTTCAGTTTCTTTTGAAATTTGAACTTCTGTCTCATATCTGATTCCATTTAATCCTCCTGTCACAGTCTGAACATAGGATCTGCTATCCCTCTGCCCACCCTGCCATGCTGACTTTCCCCAAGTCTTTATGTTTTCCTCTTTTTCCTTTTTCTTCTTGATTTCCTCAGATGACTTAGCCCCTTTTGTAGTTACTGTACTGCCTTGCAACCCACGTAACCAGGCCTGTTCTGTCCCTTCACCTTCCTCCCTTCGTCCCTCCCTTCATAGCTGGGCTTCAATGGAGGTAGCAAGCCAGACAGGGTATACTACACCATCTAAAACAACCTCTAACTTCCTTGGGATATCACTGGGTTTAACTCCGCTTAGCTTCAATGCGACTGAATGAAGATCCAGATCAAAGACACCATCTAGTCTTGCACCACAGGTTATGGCAATGGACTGTAATACCTTCTTCCAGAGATTGAAAGGTAACCCAAGCAGTCTGACTAGTACATTGTCCTCAATCTTAAAACTTTTAGTATTTGAGAGAGGACACCATTTCGAGAATGTGGCAGCACCAACTTCTTTTTGAATATTTAAAGCTGAAATCTCTACTTCAACTTCACCCAGATCTATCAGAGCTTTACAAGATTCATAAGGTGTAATCACCATCGGTTTTGGCAGGTTTAATTCTCTGAGTATCGACTGCGCAATACCCCTCCAATCCTTTGGTGGCCTTGAAGTTTCCACCACAAATTTCTTCTCCCAGTCCTCCTTTCCTGCTGTTGCTACCAGTTTACAATTTCTTTTTCCTTTTTCTACAATCATCCTTTTCCTCCCAATAGATTCTTCTTCTCTCTTTTGTTTACCCACTTTCTCTTCCTTTGCCACCACCTCTATTTGTTCTGATTTCAGCTGTTGAGTAAAATCACTCAGTACCTCTGCCACWGCCTTCCATCCAATWCCCCTTCTACCTTCTGGGAAGCAAACTAACTGCTTCTTTCTTCCTCCAAAGAATTCTTGTAGAGCTATATAGTGTCCTTTTGCATTCTTTTTACATTCCAGCTCATATCTTTTTCTTCCATCTAAGTTGAACTCCATAAAGCTCACTTGTTTACCTCTAGAACTTGCTTCTGAAAAAAACTTCTGCATCCATTCGATCACTTCCAAACCTTCCAACAATATTGTAGCTTTCTTTGCCTCCCTAATCTTCAAGCTCTGCAAGCCTCTGATTTTCAACTCTTCAAGGATGAGGTCTTTTGCTTCAATCTTCATTGCTTTCCTCCATCTTGTAACTTCTACAAACCTATTCTCCATTAAGCCTTGGAAGATTAACTGAGCCTAATTGCTAGCACCAGGGATGGCCCAATGTTGATCAAGAAGATTTATAAAATGCCACCAGATTGCATCAATATCTTAAAAAGAAAAGAAAAGAAGCCATTATAACAAGTACTTGGGTGGGTACTATATTTCTATGTGAAAATTTTGGACACAGTTCAAACCCTCTGGTTCTAGGACATATTTGCCCATAGAAGAGAAACTTGGTATATAAATTTTAAGATGAAGAATAGGTTCCAGTTTTTTCCTTTTCCAGTGTACTTAGATAAGAAATGTTGCATTTAGAAAAAAAAGGAAGTATACCCCCTACAGTTATGAGGTAGGGGAACCAAAAACATGTTAATACTGACTTGAAAGCTTCTCAAAACACAATTCCTGTTCCTGTACCTTCTCTAGTCAGTCATTAGCAAGGAGTTTGATGATCTTGGTATCCACCTGAACAAGCTGTTCAAGGAGGATGGCAATGATCAATCTTCTCTAATCAGATAGTGTCTAAGGACCATCTTCTGCTTAGAGCATTCATCCTATAACAACTTGGGTATCTCTTTCCACAATCACCTGTTCAAAGCCTAAAGGAAAGCTGAGCTTTAGGCCTTGAAGAATGGTAATAATGGAAATTTGGTTATTTTACTAAAGCAGGAACTGTTATTGCCCCTCAGATTAAGGTGCAATGATAAAAGTTATATTTTGGATGGAATCTGCTTGAACTTGAAGTACCCCAATTCATCCTTGATAATCCCAGGCAGGGGGCTGTGTTCCCCCCTCCCTCTCTTTCCTTTCTAGAGGTTGATGTTTCTGTTTGATGTTGATAACCTAGGACCAGCTGACATTGGTGGGTCAATGCAGATGGGAACACTCTCAGTAATTTCAACTCTCTCTTTCCCTTTTATTGGTACCTAGGACCAAAGGCTGAGTTCTTGCTCTTCTCACAGGATTTAGGATAGCTAGTGAATATTGGTTTTCCTCTGTGACAGGAGGCTCTACCAATGTGATCAAATGTAATAAAAATGATTATAAAAAATGGAACAGAAATATTGTGTGGGACTTGGCCACCATCCTAATGGAGGAAATCTAGGCATAAATTCCACTTGTTAAATGTTAACATCAAGTGGGATTTGTTTTCTTAATTGATGGTTAAAATCAGGGTAATCCAAAGAGAGTTGAAATTATTGATAGAAAAAGAATTGAATTCAGTCATAGAGCAAGGCTGGGTGGCCAAAGTGATACGACTTACTAACATGAACAATATACCCTGAAATTATATCATTATTTCATTGGATTAAGGAGGCAGTTTAAGGTTATTTTGGTGGTTCAAATTGTTGATTCTCCAATATGTACTGTATTTTTGTTTATAACTTGTACTATTCACTTTGAAGGCACCATGGATGGTAACCCTCTTTTTGTTAGTTGATTGCTTTGAAGTTGGATATGCCATCAAACATTCATTTTTATTGGACTGTGCACTTCATATATTTCTTTTAATTTTAAGACATTATGCATGTTTAAGCTACTGATACTTTTTTTAGTCAGAAATTGCACATTACTTATGGTTACTTTTTTATTCTGAGATGTTTCTGATTCATGTGATGGATTTTCTAGATTATTCTGCATGACATGTAATGACATTGTAATCCAGGTTATCAGCACTGCTAGGACATGCAATTGTATTCTAATTGTTCTTGATGCAATAAAACCAATAACTCACAAGCGTCTGATAGAGAAAGAGCTTGAAGGATTTGGCATAAGGTAATATTGGTTGTTATCAGCGCTCTTACCCATTTTGCTATGGGTCATTGTGGGAGTTTGCTTTTCTAATTTAGTTGTTGTGTAGTTCTAGAGTGTAAGTGTGGCTGCTTTCTCAAATCTACTTGCACCTCCTTTCCTTTTTTTTCTAGATTAGTTCATGACAGTTAAAAGTTTTTCCTACTAATAAATTTGATGGTTATGCTTGCAATTTGATGAATATACCCAATTTGAGGTCCAGTGGAGAAGATTGCACCTGTAGTGTAAGAAACTATAGTTTGCCTGCATATACTCTTGTTCGATTTTCTTTTTTTTATGCTTAAAATTTTTAAATGTGATGACATAGCATATAAATAGGTCCATGGATAAAGTACTCAGTGGGGCATTTGGAAACATTTGAAAATGGAATTTACTGAAAATATAAAAGTGATTTGCCTTGGGAGTTCAATCACATCAGAATGTGAGATCTCTGGTTTCATGAGATTGCTTTTATCCTTTTTGGGCTTGTAGAGTTGCCAATCCACTAGCATTTTTTTTTGTTTGTTTTTAGAAAGGATACAAGAGGATTCTTGATCCGTGAGCTTTACTAGGGCATCTCTGTGTAATATGAGAATTTTTTCCCTGTACAGTACGGAAAGGGATCCCATATTGGGCTTATCCCAGAATCTTTATTTATTTATTTTTTTTACCATCGAGTAATGGACTGTCATATCATATTTACATCTTATTTTTATATGTTAACAGAATGTTTTTCATTTGCTGATAAAATTAAGTCCTAAAATAATCTTTATTTAAAAGAGGTTTGGGCCTATAATAGAATCTCAACCTTGTTTCTGTAGACTTGCATAAAAGTCCATAATAGATCCATCCAAAGTGCTTTCAGAAACAAAATGAAATGGGTTCATTTCTGTGTGGTCTTAAAAATCCCCCTCATTGATTGCTTCCTTGGCTGCAGGTACATAAATTAAAATAGGTTATCTTAAAATATCTTGGGTGTGTGGGTTGAAGTTGTTAACACATTTTTTTGAACAGTAACCATAATGATGTGCAAAAAAAAAAGAACTTTTCTTATAGAGAAGGCAATGCAAAACAACTCAAAAGTTGATAGTAGCCCTCTAGAAGTTAGTTAGGCATAGTCACATGGTAATAACTATGCAATAGGAAAACCCACTATCTTGAAGGCATAATTCAAAATTTTAAGAGGGTTCAGGAGAAAGAATGCTTGAGTGAGGGATGAGTTTTGCAATTTGGACTTGAAACTGAACTTTGCCAGTCACTTTATGGTGGCTTAAAGTGATATGATAAAGATAACATTATCCATGCAGATGACACAATTCTGTTTTGTGTAGGAGGAAACCTTAGTTGGATCCAGAATCTAAAGTTGGCAATACATCTCTTTGAACAAATTTCTAATCTCAAGGTGAACTTTGATAAGAGCTGTGTGGTGGGAGTGAATGTGGATGTAAGGGACCTAAGGGAATATGCAGGTGAGCTAGGATGTGCAATCTCGGGCTGGCCCTTGACATACTTGGGCCTCCCTTTAGGAGACAATCCTAAGAATGTAAGCTTCTGGAATCCGGTAGTGGAGAGGTTTGAGAAGAGGATGGCGGCTTGGAAGAGAAATTATCTTTCTCTAGGTGGGAGAGTCACTCTTATTAGGTCTACCCTAGCTAACCTATCTATCTACTATTTGTTAGTATTTAAGATACCCTCAAAGATTTCTAATCTTTTGGAAAAATTAATAATACGTAATATTTTGTGGGAGCTTGGAGAGGAGAAGAGAGATCATAGGGTGAGTTGGGAGGTGGTTACTAGGTGTAAAAAACTAGGAGGTCTTGGGATTGGTAACTTCAAGAAAAGGAATATGGCTTTGCTGGGGAAATGGTTGGAGGTTTTCAGTGGAAAGGATAAATTGTGGACTGAGATTGTGGCTAGCATACATGGTGTAATCTTAGGAGCTGTACTCGAAGTACCAAAGGAGAGAAGAGAAACTCTGAAATGCAGTGAATGTCGAACTGTACTAGTCAGTCGACCATGCTATTATTTATATATGAATGTAGTACAAAGTATAAGAAATTATTAGGATGCCCCTGATTAGTGATGGGACACTCAGATGACTTAAATCATTAAACAGAATTAGGCCCAGTTACAAGATAAG